TGGTTTGATCTCCCTTTCGGGGTGAGAGGCAGCAGGCTGCGGGGCTGCACTGCGAGTCCCGCTCGCTCAATCCGCAGCAAATGCTGCCCCTGGTGTTTCACAGCAGGAAATACCCCAAAACCGTCCCTCGGCTTTCCATGTTTTGTCCAAAAGACCTTGGCGAATGCCACCATCCCTGGACACCACCATCAGTTTTGGATAGGTTGGTTGTCAATTTTCTTAAAAGCAAACTGTTCTTAACATGATCATAACATCCCTTGCGCTTTGCGTTACTAAACACGCACAGGATAAAACATTTAATGTAACAGGACCTGAACAATTAATTACATTTTTTTCCCTTCTGTTGACACTGATTTGTGACCTTTTTACATGATACTGTAATCTCACATGAGCTGTCATGCCTGAGCATTTTTTCTGTGTGAATTCCCTACTGTTATTGAAGCTCTGAGTTTCCCAAGCTGGCAGCCCCTTCCAGATCAGCAAAGCACTTATTTGTGCTGGGTTCACAGCCAGACATCCCATTGTGGTAATACCTTTACAAAAATGGAACAAAAAGACTGAGCTGAACCTATGTCACCTAAAATCCCAAGTGCATATCTTGTTCATCTGTGTTTAGAAATCATGTATCAAATTGCCTCAAAGTTGTATTAAATCCACAGGAACAGCTTAATATCAATCCTGAGGATGTTACAACTTTGGAGCTTAGAATTTTCAGCCATTTCTATTATTTGCTTTTCAGCGAGGATTCTCGGCCGTTTTGAAGGCCTACAGTTATACATACATGTATTTCTGAGGGTATTCCAAGCTAGGCAGGCCCCTATCATGCTGCTTACCTTGCAAATTGTTTAACTTTGAAGCAGTCTGACTGCACTCGAGTCAGTTTTCTTGTCCTTAAATTTTGGGCACAAGGTGCATGTAACTGCTACTCTGTTTAAACTGTAAGGTAAGCCATTTTGAACACACCGGGTTTTTTATTTTTTTTTTTTTAAATAAGAATATACTCCCCAGAGCAATCTAAAGAAACTAGGTTTACAGGTTATTTAATAAACAACAGGGGAAAAAACCCCAAACAACCCCATGCCATCACTTACTACCTAGACAAATAACAAAATTCACATAAACTATTTGGGGAAGTGGAATCACTGAAGTGGTTATTATCAGGTTTTTTCAATATAATTTTGGTAGATCATATTTCTTACATTCTTTTGTCTAATCTCTAAATGCAGATTAGAACTTGGCATTTCTTTCTTCTCAGAGCAGAATCAGAAAGTCAACTTTTTAAAGTCTCTTTTGTGTATGGTGGATATTTCTCTTGGAGTAGTATTGTATTTACATGTGTTTGTGTATCACATGTGTACACTAGCACACCCACTCTGTTTATCCAGACAGACTTACAGAAGGATAAAACCAGAAGTCTTTATTTATCCAAATAAAAGTAAACTAGAGGAGCTAAGCATGGGAATTGCCTGCAATTGCCTGAGGAACTGCTAAAAATAGCTGCTTTCTGGAAACAGGAGAAGCCTTCACTGTCGAAAAAGTAGCAGTAACAGCTATCTACTATTAGCAAACTACTTTCTTTCCAAAACCTGAAGGACACAGGGACAAAAATCGCTTCTTGTCATACTTCACTGCGAGAACTGGACAGAATGTAGACTAAAAAGGGCCTTCTGTCCCAGAAGTACATCATGTTGGTAAGCCTGATCCTGTGCATAAATACCTTGTGTGAACTTCATCATTATCACCGTCTCCAGTTACAGAACTTAAACTAGAGCAGATTATCAAAACATTACAGGAACTAAAGTAATTTCCAAGTATGATCATTAATCACCCGCGCCAAGTCTAATCACATTCTGAGCTCTCTTCATTGTTCCATTAAGACAGGTACTTTATCTTAATTAGAGCTACTGCTTCAAAAATTAACACTAAAGACAATTTAAAATGTCCTATTGGAACAAACATTTTATTCTCTCACCTCCTAACTCCATTCAGCTTCTCTGATGTGGAAAAAAAACCATGAATGACTGGTCAGATTTCTGACTTCTCCCATCAAATCAAAAAATTTGCACAATTTTTTTCTGCTAGAAATACTCTTACTGAGTAATTCTATATATAGAAAGTCTCAGGGGGTAGAGTCCTCTTTGTGCTTCATGCTGTACAAGCACTAGCATTTACAGACTGACCTGGAAAATTTGATCTAAATTTTTACATATTTACTCTTCTAAACAATATTTTAATTTCCTGTGGTGAAGACAAGTGTAAACATGATGTAATGATACTTCACTTTTGCTGTCTTGCAGAAACACTTCAGATAAAACAACAGCCACAAAAACATTATCACTTCCTCCAATCTCAGTGAGGGGAATATCAGGGTTTAACAGAGACTATACACACAAACATCGTATATACACACAAATATCGTTTAACAGAGACTATACACACAAACCCTGCAAAATCAAATCAAATATCTGTTTCTTGCTGAAATAGAAATCAGTGATGGCAATTTGAGGCATTTTCTTAGTCCCACTGGTGATAGCACACACAAGATTAGTAAACCTCCAGAAGCGCTTTCTACCAAGAAACTTCAGCAGGATTCTTTTGGATCCCTGTTAGCAACAGAAAAACACTCTTCTGGGAAAAAAAAGTGCCTGCAGGAACAAGTAGTAGATAGCTTACACTTTTTGGTGAATGGAGAGGAGGTGGGAAACAAGGTCTGGGATATTAAAAAATTGCTCACTGAACAATTTGGCCATTTTAATTTTCAATCAAAATGTATGTATTCTTGAATACTACCTTTAATCAGCAAGCCAGAATTTCCCAAACTTATTTTTTAATTTGGTAGCAAACAGTTTAAATGTAGCAAAATGAAGGAAAAGGAATAGAGAATTCCTTCAGCTTTGGTAACCAGGGAGACAGATATGAGACATACCAAATCTCAGAATTTTATATATCTAACTCACAGTTTTGGAAGAAGGTATGGAAAGAATATCTTCAACATAAGTTGAACAAATCTCAATCTGTATACTGAGAATTTTCATTTTGGTTTTGTAAATCTTGTATCTGTATGTGGAAAAAAGGAGAACTGATGTTATTAGCTCTCTCTAATAGCATATAAACCATTGCCTAGTTTCAACTCCTTAAAAAAGTAAAACCAGTTCATTTCTTACAATGAATGCTGGAAAAAGGGTAGTGAATGACAAATCTAAGGTGCAGTCTCTGAATAAAAAACTCAGCAGATGTTCACTGTTAAGCTATACACCTGTTAGCAGTTGCCTTTCCAATCAAGCTATTTGTTTCCAGTAGGGTGGTAAATCTTACAGACAAATCCATGAGAAATCAGGTTTCATTAGTTTTGCTTCTGAGAGAGTAACCTGTTAAAAGAATTCAGAGTGTAAACAGTATCTTGCCTTTCACTAGGTTACCATATTAGCCACAAAAGACTAATAATGTGCATAGAGCAAGATGTAGGAACAGTTCCTAACTGGATTCAAAACGCTGTGTCTCACATGTTATCTTAGACTACATCTGATTCATTTCATATGCAGCACAAAATACAGGGACAGAAACATTGAATGATTTGGGTTGGAAGATTATAATGGCCTGGGACATCTTCCATTAGACCAGGTTGCTCTGACTCATCCTGACCCAACCTTACACGCTTCCAGGAATGGGGCATGCACAGCTTTTCTGGGCAACCTGTGCTAGTGCTTCACCACCTTCACCCCAAAGATCTTCTTCCCGACATCCATCTATACCTACCCTCCTTAAATTTAAAACTTGTTAGTTGTCCTGTCACTACAGGCCTTGGTAGAAAAGTCCCTCCCCATCTTTCTTGTATGCCCACTTTAAGTACTGAAAGGCTGCAATAAAGTCTCCTCTGTGCCTTCTCTTCTCCAGACTGAACAGCCCCAACTCTCTCAGCCTGTCTTCATGAGAGAGGTGCTTCAGCCCTCTGATCAATTTAGTGGCCCTCCTCTAAATTGGACCCGCTCCAGCAGGTCCATGTCTTTCCTGTGCTGAGGACCCCAGAGCTGGATGCGGCACTCCAAGTGGGGTCTCGCCAGAGTGGAGTAGAGAGGCGAAATCCCCTCCTTTGACCTGCTGGCCAAGCTGGTTTTGATGCAGCCAGGACATGGCTGGCTTTCTGGGCTGCAAACGCACATTGCCGGCACATGTCCAGTTTTTCAGGATGGACGGTATCTTATTTAACACTTCCTAACTCCTCAAAAATCCACTCTGGTTTGGGTTTCATGTAATTCTGGTAAGCCATGCATCCTGCTTCTGAGTAACTCCTACATTCTGTTAAGTTACACTGTAAGAATTCCCGCTTATCTTGCATGGGCACATTAATCCATTCTCTTAGGCTTGCAGTTACTGCAAGTTGCTGCCATTATGTTTGCACAACATAATTTGATGTTTAAAATCTGAGTAAATTGCCCCAGCTGCTTATCAGAGACAGCAATGAGGGCCCATGTGTTCATTTAGATGGCTAAGCCAGACTCAGTCTGTATGACGCCTATAATATGACTCATCACCTACTCTCTCAAGAGAGGAATGACTACTGTGCTGCAAATGTAGTCAGGACTGCAGAATATTTCCTCTGTTGCCTTGCAACTGTCTATACTGATTCCTCAGAGGAGAAATAGATCTTTGCATTTGGGTTCTGTTTATTGTAACTATCATTCTAACTGGCTGGACCTACTTGCATATAGTGAGCAATAAGGAAGGTAAGATGTAGTCATAAGTTCTTGTATAACACAGCCTTATCTTTCCAAACACACTTATTTCAAAAGATCTCAGCATCTCCTACCTTTCCTACTATACAGCTCAATATACATAGGTGGAAGTTTTATTTCACGAGTAAATAGATATTGAGCTGTTATTTCTAAGAACAGAAGGAAACTTAAAATGATTTATGCAGTAAGACTGGAGGACTGATTTGGTAAACCTTTGGGCTATTATTGACACAGATGAGAAAAAAAGATACAACACATTATCAAACAGCAGTTTAAAGGCATATATGAATTTCGGTGTAGCCTAAATAGAATCTTGAAGTCAAAGCAGAGATAAAGTGCATGCAGATAAAGCAGGCCATTCAAATTTTTATAAGATGTCTTTCAAAGAGCTATATGATCACTTAATCAATTTTCTCTTCTTGAAAACTGTCTGCATCATCCATGCAATCTTCAAGATCATCGTATCTCTGCAAATGAAATAAAACCTGTATTATTTTATCAATGTTTAATAACTAGGTTATGTAAATACTGCTTTTTTTTGTTCAACACATTACCAAATATGTCAATAACAATTTAGAAAGAATGATATCTGAAAGCTTGCTAAATGCAATTGTACTTCAAGTTGTCTTAAAATAGTTTATAAAGTGTTCCTAAATAATTCAAAGTGCTTCAGTGTAAATAAACAGAATTCTAAAATATTCTGTGCCTTATGTACGTGTTTCCAATCTTTCTAAGTTAAAGCTCGAGTTAGTTGCGTTGCTGCTTTCAAATGAAAGAGGAGTTTGCCCTCCACAGCCCAGAGATCATGCAGCTGTCAAAAAGCTTCATGTCAAAAGTTGATACAAACTCTATGTGAGCACAGCAACATAGCCGTGTTTGAAAGATTGGGTCAGCAGAAATGGATAAACAGTTAAGCTGAGTTGTATTATACAAGGCCAATAATTCAGAACTGATCAATTAAATCAGACATTTTATTTCAATGTACTTTTATCTCTTTGGAAAAGGATAGAGGAAATAATTCGGGCATACCTTCTGAATCCACCCACTCTCTTCCAAGTGGCTGAAAAGCCGTTCTACAGTGTCTTTGACTGGTTCATCCTCAACACCATCCAATTCGGCAACAGAGCTGCAATCCACATACAGCTTGTACTTGAAGTGCTTCAAATTGTGATAAATTCTTGTACGATTTGCACACACCAAGCCAACCTTCAGAACCTAGGCCAGAACAAACAAATCACTCTCTCTGATAGAACTGATTATCTTGACAATATATAGAATTGGTAAGTTAGTTTAGTATGACTCTAGTCAGTCCAGGAAATTTTTCTGAATAATGAAATAAACAGAATGATGCTACATGCATAAAATCAGTACAAAACCATGTAGTTTTCACAGCCACAGCACAACGATTTATGAGCAAGCAGGCAGCCAGCAAGTCTATGCAATGGCAGCTTATCAGTACGGTCTTCTTGCAAACACAACCATGTTTATAATTGGTGGTATCTTTCATATCTCCTGGTGGAACTTTGTTACAAAATCACTAACACTTTAGACAACCATCATATTGTGAAAGCAGAGGAAGATAAATCATTTGTTTACTTTTGCTTAATATGTAAGTACTTCCTAGGACATGAAATACCAGTTTTAACATTTTGTAGACTGATTAACTTTCAATAACAAATATGTAAGTATACAAATAGTCATATGCCTTGAAACATTTATTTAATAAATATAAGGGGGTGTGTTGAATTTCATAAAAATAAAATATGAAAACTGAGGTTTTGTAGAATGCAGACGTTAATCCGTGAAAGGTACAGCTAGGCCACAATGCTGTAGAAATCAAAGACTCTACATCTCCCAGTTATTACCAGTCTTATTTCTAAGATTTCCATGCAGAATAGACAGAACTGTCTTATTTCACAGTCTTCATTACAGCAGTATTTATGGGTAAACAAGTGGTAAATATGCTTGTTACTACATGGATTACAGTAAATCTGTTATAATCTATCAGCACTAAGATGAAAATACAGAGTGATACACTGGTTACAAAAATCTTTTGCCATCCTAAATCTTCACTAAGAGTATATGAAATTGGAGATGTGGGGAGGGGAAAAAAGAGTCAATTTTCACCTGCATTTAAGGACATCCTGTGTTTCACAAGAGTATGTTTTGTCCCACTTCTACAAGAACAGTAGTTCCAGTAGATACAATGGCAAGTCAGAAGAGGATTCTGTCCTCTCTAAGTGACCCACAGGTGCACCGATCACTACTCTAACCCAAGGAGACAAAGCCTATTAGGTAAGAAATCCATGTCTGGCTGGTTTTCGGGGGTCAGGTTTTCTGCACTCAAAGCAACATAATTAATACAAACATAAAGAAATTCAGCTCCTGATACATACACGAGAAATAGATTTAATTTTTCTGAAAAAAAAAACCCAAACCTTATCAGCTTATCCTTCAAGAACAGCACTATTTTGGACTGTTGTCTTGTCACACTTTTGCAAGTAACAAGCACATAAATGGCTAAAGGTCAGAGTTCTTTGCATCAGTAATGCAAGCTGCAATTGTACAATTTAACATTACACACACACATATATATAAAAGAACCAACTGTGTTATAAGTTGAAAAATGATTTTTTCTGAGCCACAACACTGATACCTTTTATTGCTGCCACCGGTAATAATCTGAATTATCTCAAATTACAAGAAGGTTAAGATTTAATTGATGCTTACAACCTGTGTTTTCAGTGAGCTTTTCCGAATGCACGACCAAATGTTTGCATCTGTGAGCAGTTCCCCAAAACACCTGACCTTAAATATATGAATATACTTAATTTCTGAAATATATTTTTATATAAAACCAGCAGCTCAATTGATATCAGCAGACATAATATCACTAAGTCAAAATGGTTATTAACTGCACTGTTAAACATCTTGAGATAAAAAATGCCTATTACTATATTGTAATTCTCTACTGATGATGCACACATTGTACATATATGCAGCTCCATTTCTACTGTCCCCAAAAATGAAAAGCTAAGGCTTGTGTTTGGTGCTGCAGGTGCTTCTGAAGTGCAAGACCTACCAACCAATGCTTGATTTATTCAAATTTCCAGAATTATCATTTCAAATACTGAAACAATCAAGAACTGAGCTGTGGCATTTTGTAGAGCATTTCACAACTTTCCAAGTATCCCAAGCAATGAGGTGTGGCACTTGGAACATTATGTGATGCAAAATAGGAGATACCATCCTGCATCAAACTGATGGCCCAGTTCTTTACCCTGTGACAACAGCTAGCAGGATTTTGGGACCCACTAATAATTTCCCTTCAAAAATATCTTGTGGCAATGAGTTTCATAGCTTATTTATATGCGAGGTGTAAAGTACTGCCACACTGGGGAAATGCCAAATGCAAATAGCTAAATATCATATAAATGTAACTATGCATTGTGTTTTTAAAGCAAGAATGATAGTCTAAAAATAAAGAGCTATTTCAGAATGCAGTGTTGGAAAGAATCTCAGTACTGTACTGATTCTAATTTTTTCCTCTTGCAGTTCTCAGTCCCTCTGTCCTAATGCTTAACTTATCTACTCAAGCTGGCCCTATCAGCCAAAGTTGTGTTAAATCACTTTGTATGGAATGCAGGAGCATGGCCTGACAATAGCATAACATGTAGTGACTGAATCCATGTCCTCTAAGCATGTTTATAAACAGAAGTAGAACATGAAAACCGAGAGAGAAAAAAGTTTATAATCCAGGTGACACAAGAGCAAGGAAGTGTGGGGGACACCTATAGCTCCAAACTGTTTGATTCCCCTGACCATGAAGAAATGAGAATTGGCACCTACACAGTGAACAATTACTGCAAGCCTAAGCAAAACTGGAACAGCTGTTTCTCTTCTCTTTCTATTGGCAAAGGAGAATACTTCAGAGATGAGAGAAAAGGAAAGTTTTATGCAGAAGAAGGGGGTTGGAGGTCTGTCTTTGTTCTCTCCACATCCACTTTTCTTGGGTATTTTCAAACAAATCTATAGAAGATAGTCCAACTATGTGTTTCCATTCAATCTGATCTGCCATTGCTGAACTACCTTTTCTATCAATCAATCAAGTTTGTGAAATGGCAGATTTATGAGCCTTTTTTTTCTTTTTAGTTTTTCCTCCTTTCTTTTTTTCTCAGCTGGCAGGACAAGTCGATCAATGCGTTGTCATCAGAACTTTAAAGACAACTTGAGAACAGTACTTTTAGCAGTCTAAATTGCAGGTCACCATAGGAACACAAATGTTGCATTATAAAGACACTATAAAAAATTACTGGAAAGTGCTCAATTACTCTTCCTCCTGACTGTTTTACAGCCCCTGAGCATGCACATAGCAGACATGCCTTCAGATGCTAGTGTACGGAGGGTAAAAAAAGCTCTCATTTTCTACTCTTAAGCTAAAGAGGACAAAAATGAACTAGCAAGTTAGTTAAATATTTCAAGTTTTTTCCAAAGTGAAAAACAGCCAACACTTTATGTAGGACAACATTTGGTCAGCAGTGAGGGAATTGCTACTGTTATTTCCACAGTTAAGTTGGAAGCTGAGAAAAGATTAAATTCTTGTGCTGGTTCCCTTATTATTTCTGGTTAGGTAAGGCACACACTTCCCATGAAAAACTGAAATTTTTTACATTAGTGATCTACATTTAGAGGCTTTTATGTAAGGAATAATGACTGTACAACAGACTGCAGTATCAGTGCTTGGAGGCCTCATTGTTTTCCTGCAATAAACAAGTGGCAAAACCTTGCTGGAAAAGCCTCGCTCTCTTGACTAATATGCACGTACATATTTTTCATAACAGAGTATCAGCAACTGCTGCTCAGAAAGGTCTGTAATCTAAGAAAAACTGGCACAGATATTCCTAGCTCCTGCATTACATGCAGAGTCCAAGATGATGACACGGTAATCACGCTGACCCCCCTCAAATCTCTAAGTTAGAAAATTTGAAAAAATTCAAACCATATAGACTTCCACTTCAGTACAGTGTACTTCCAGTCTGACAAGGGCTTCACTTTATTTTTGCAAAAGACATCCCATTATACCTCATTATCAAATATACTGAATAAAAGACTTGTTCTGAAACTTTTTTCTTTTCAGCAAATACAGTGAGGAACTTCAGCTGTATTCAAAAATTCTTTTACGCTCACAAAGAAAACAAAAATACCATCTGTGCTTCCTGAAAGGGAAGAAAGGCAAAACTTGGATATCAGCTTGGTAAACTTTAGCAATATTTTACTCTTGACAAATTGTGTACTTTGAGTTTCTCATAAGAGGTCATGAATTACATTACCTAAGGAGAGCATAACAATCCTAATGTAGCTGTAAATTTGAAGGGCTGATGTCTAAATATTAGAAACACCCAAGTTTTTAATAGTCAAGGTCTTCAAAAGGCTCAGCTGCGAAATAAAATTATATTATGTTATTATTAAATTACTTTAGGTGACTCCTGAAGTTATCTAAATTGACTGCCTAATGCAACATCATGTAACAACAGGAAAGATGTCTTTCACTCCAAAAATATAATTTAATCTAAAATGTTCTAGTAGAGACAACTGAGTGAGAAAAAAATCCAAGTAGTTCTGATAATGCAGTAAGTCTTCTCAAAACGAGATCAGCAACTTCAAGTGTCAATGCAACTGAGATGCCAAGATACTTTGTCCTGAGTGAAAAGGTATGTGGGAAATAGCAGGTGAGCAAAAAAATCTGAAGAACGAAGCAGTAAATTCTGACTAGGTTGCACTTGGACTATTAGGATGATCAGGGCACTATTTCACTCAGTGTTTGGACCTAGAGCAAACAAGAACTGTTGGAGTACACGTGGACGCTCCAAATGCTAGAGGAATAGTAGGCACAGAATTAGCAAACCTAGTGACCCAATGTAGAACAAACCTTATTTGTCACAAAATAGAAAAACACAATCATTCAAGGGAGATGATTGTCCATCATACAGAAAGTTACTTTTACAATGTTTCTGAAAGCTAATCAATGCAAGATCCTTGCCGGGAAAGTCTTAAGGGCATTATAGGCACACACAAAGGTAAAGGGCTTTCAAGTGATCTACCTTCAATGAAAAGGCATTCTGATATTTAGAATATATGAAAATATGAGGAAAATGTAATTCTTAATTTCAAGTCTCAGACTCCTGGCGTACAGACATAGGATCTTATCAAGATTTAAAAAAAAAATAAATCATAGTATTTCTCTGGTACTTGGTGAAACCCAGGAATGCCAGGCACGTGCAGAGCATCGGTCATGTAATTTCTTTACCACTGTTTTCCCTGCTTTAGGATTTTCAATCTTCTATTAATTGTTACTGACAAAACAAAAAGGTACTTTAGAAATAACTGAGTACTCATATTAGTACTTTGGTTAGTATGTAAATCTTCACGTGTGCTGTCAGCCTTCTTGATACAGAGTTTCATACTACTTCCTCAAGCACCACAAAAGACAAGCATGCTGAGTAGGTTGCCATGTACCTAGAGTTTCCTTCTTGCCCTGGATGGGACTCTGACTGTAGAGATTTGAAGCAGAGAAAAGAATAGAGGCAAATGTCAATTCTGACTTAAAGGGAAAGAGTTATCAACAACCCTGTCATATGTCTTAGAGCTCTTTATCCTTTATCATGAAGCCCAGCTCGTGGTTGGGTACACTTATTAGCATTTACATCTGCTGCATCCGGTACTAATATTAAGTGGTAAAAGTGGGGAGGAAATATTGCACGGATCATTGTGACACAGGCAAAAACAAATATCATAGAAAAAGATCTAATTTATTTTCTTGATAAAAGTTGGATTTATTTGACAATACTTTTCATTACCTCTTTCCCAACATATAAGAAAGAGGGAAGGGGGGACAGACAGAGGGGAATGCCTCCATTCATCTTGTCAAGTTTTATAGGAACTTCCTTCATAATTCCTAGCTAAATCCAAGACTATACTTCAAACTATAAAACAGTCTTCATATTTAAAAATTAATAGGGTTTAAACATGGAAATACAATAGCCTAACACTTGCCTCTAGCATTATAGACATAGATGTGTTGATAGGTAAGTTTCTGTAATACTACACAAAGCTTAAAAATAGAGTGCTTGTTTGAAGTTACCTGCTTGTCATTTGACATGAAGTCATCCACTTCCAAAGTCTTACTATTATAAAGCTGTCCAGAGAGCAACACTTTAAACTTACAATACCGCTTCAATTCACAGGCCTGACAAGACATAGTTTTTGGATTTTTCAGGATTATGCGAACATCTGGGTAACAATCCACGCGCTCCTGAAAAACAGATTTCAAATAACATTAAAGAATCTCTCTAAAATGAATAATGCCTCAAATAGAGTGCTGAGTTCTCTGTACTCACAAAAAATTAGTCCAAGAAAAATGAAAGAGATTCAAATCTGCAATCTTTCATCATTCAGTTGTGAACACAGACCTTCTCCATCATCTTCCAACACTTCACTCAGTTCACTCTAGTTCATTAATTCTTTCTTTTGGCTTCAGACCTAGAAAATGGCTTCTACATCCTGGCAGAATTTTTCTCATACCTTTTTTTTTTTTTTTTTAGGGGGTAGGGGTGCAACTACATCAGTTGTTCTCCTTCAAATAAATACACTGTCTCTCTGCACTGGCCAGACCCCATTATGACAGTGATTATTAGATCACCACACCTATCACACTAATACTATTCTAGTAGTATGCATATGATGACTCTGTTCCTGTATACTGACTTCATTTTTTGTAGTAGTAGTAGAAGATTCGTGAGCATACTAGTTTATCTTTTTGTGGGAGAAGGAAGAAATTTTGTTATAACATTTACAAAGTCATAGAAAAATCCTCAAAAAGTCATCTGCTGAAGTTAGCAGGAGAAGCATTCAGGTAGCTGAGAAGAGATTCCGTTCTGCTACCCGAATGTTTATCTGGTTATAAACACATAAAATATTTCTGATATTTATAAGCATTGAAACAAATTATGTAAGTTAAAGAACAATGAGTTTCTATTAAAAAGTATATATAACTACACCAATTGTTGTACCTTTACAGAGAATTATAGTGTTAAAAAAAAAAAGTCAGTAATGATTTGATTTGGAAGCCACTTCACTGTTTAAAGTAGAATCTACATACCTTGTATCGATCTTTCCAGCGACTTCTAGCGATTAAGTTCTCAAGCCGAGGCTGAATGAAGCGGTCGTCCAAATAATGAAGTGAGAGCAACATGTCTTGTGCATACTTCTTCTGTCTTGTTCCATCTGCTCAGTGAGAATCATTACTAATTTGCTGACCACCCTTTCTTATACAAGTTTCTTGAGATAAGATTTGCAAGGACACAATACTTCTGCATACTAAAAACTATGAATGATTTTAATAAATTATTACTCAATATATTTGCTACTGTTACCCATAAAAGTGATCCATGCATCTTTGATAAAGGAATATATTTAATTATTTTAAAAGTGGTACATGAATAAACTCTACAATCAAAGTTAAAGTGAAAAGTTGTCATCCCGAATAGAGATCCATTGACTCAATCCCATTTAAAAGAATGGAAAAGGAGGAAGAAGGGGAGAAATGTCTTGCTTTTTGTCCAATCTATTTAAGTTGTTCTTAATGCATAAGGGGGGTAGTTGCAATCCATGAAAACAAACTGCTCTGAGCTACTTCACAGCACGAATTTTGACAACTCACTTTGTCACTTATAAAGAGCACAGAGAAACTGATCTTTACACTCCACCAGCACAGTCAGATGCCTTGAGTTAGGCAGCATAAGTACTTCCAAATACTTACTCAAGCAAAATAAATAAACAAGCATGAGGATGAGTAAAATTACAACTGTTCCACTACTGTCTCCCAAATACACGCTGGACTCCAGGAATTAAATAGGACTTTCATAGGTGCAGGCCAATGCATACTGTTCTGGAACTTCAGCATGTACAGACATACGACTTCACACAGCTACCTTCTCATGTCTTCTAGCAATCATCATGGCTGGGCTTCGCAAACGAACATTTGGGAAGGGCTTTACCCACGTTTGTTACAAGCACGCTGGTGGCTAAAAAGGCCAATACGAGATGGGCACGTCCGGTTGCACTTCTAGCAATACTGTTATTAAAAATCCCCCCCACCAGAACTGAGAAGGACCACTGTCTATCTAGCTTGCTATATAAAACAATTAATTGTCATAGATTTCATAATTGCAATTAACTGTTTTTCCCTATTCACTTTACACACACACATTTACAGTATAAGCATGAAGAGGTTGTGCTAGACCATAAAAAAAATTCCTCATAATAAAAAGCAAGTCTGAACTCTAATACTATAGTAGCTACTCTTGATTCAAGCTAATGAAGAGATTCACTTTCATTAACTCAGAAAAATCCATCTACATTACAAAAATACTTTTTTGTTATGTTCATACTATTCAATGTTCATGTACAACCTCCAGCTCCCCCACAGAGCTCACCTACTTCCAGCACCTTGGCAGTAAGTTGCTACATTTTATAGAGCAGATACCATTTGAAATAGACGGAAGCTATTACAGCATTAATCTGGAAAAGTTTACTTATTACTTTTCATAAGCTTGTTTTCACTTGGTGAAACAAAACAAACCGACCACCTGAAAGAACTAGCAGTGGTAGATGAAAGACATTTTTAACTCCAAGAATATACAGCCTTTATTCTGAGGTCTGTGGTATACTTCAGTTTCTCTGTTTCCTCTTAGTTCTGATAACACCAAAACTTCCTCTCTTTGGCACTTTACTGACTCTCCCACAATCTGACTTGGACAGTTCTCTCCTTAATCCCATCTTTACAGTGCTTTTGAAACTACATGTAAGGTTGTCATTCAGCCCCACTAGGCCAAATGCTAAAAAGCACTTCCCCAGAAAGAACAAGACAAAAAGTACTGATTGCTGCTGAACTTTATTTACCTGAAAGCACGAATGTTAAAAAAAAAAGAAAGGAAAAAAATCAGATATGGAGTCATCGCCATAGCTAAAATTATTTATTACCAAATTCCTCAGAAAAAAAGCTATGGAGCACAAAAAATTTTGACAAATCAGCTGACCTTTCACTGTTTTCATTGTTTTGAAACTAATTTTGCTTTCATACTGGAAAGGTTACTCATCAGTAACACAGAAACACTTCCTTCCATCTCAAAAAGGCATTTTAAGCCTTCTAGGCTTAAAAGAATTAAGTCTACACGTTTTTCCAAGATTAGTCTATCCTCCCCTCTCCTGCCAAAGTTACAGAGCAGGGAAACCACATGCAGATTTCAGGACTCAGCTCTATATTCTAATCAGGAGAAACACTCCTCCCTAGAATAAATGGCTTTGTATAACTTTGAATGCACTATAATGTTATTTAATGTGATTTACTTACCATATAATGAGCTCAGAAAAGTGTCATCAATTGCATTTATGAGGAAAGCCTTTACTATTCTTTTGAAGTGTACATAATGATCACAGCGAGGTACTGGGAAGAAAGCAGTATCATCAGAATTTACCCAAAAAAGGGAAAAAAAACCAGAAAAAAAAAAAAGCAATGTTACAAGTCCTGTAAGAAGAATTCTTTTTTTCATTATTGTGAATTTAGAATTTTAAACTTATTTAAATATGGATTTAGAAATAATGGCAAGGTACAACATCCACACCCTTAAGATTCTGCCTTTAAAGTGTACTTCTCATCCCACTGATCCTACACAATTTTAGCATCCTCAAGTCACATACGCTTTCAGCAAGAGCCCACAGAAAGAGCTATGAACACTAAAAGAAGTGAATATTTTGTTCTATGAATAGCAAGAAATAATGCAAAACAGAGAAGACCAGGCTTATGTTGTGTTTTTTTCGTTGTTTTGGGGGGTTTTGTTGTTGTTGTTTTGGTTTTGTTTATTTTTTCTATCTTTCTTTCAAATATACACAGTTCTGCTAAGGTCTTCATTGGGCAAGAAATACCACAAATGCTTGTGATCACCTACACTAGCACGGACTGCCGAATCAGTACATACCTCTTTCTGAACAACAAAATACGGAAGAAAATAACTCATATAAAGGTCTGTTTCAAATGTCTCTGCTCCATCCAGAAACCGGTTCTCATAAAAGAACAACTTGAAGAGTTTTCTTGCTCTATGCAGTTTGGCCAGTCTTGGCCAATGAAGTCAGAAACCCCTCTAGACCTCTACTCTCAAGTCTTACCACCATAGAATAAAAATACATTAAAAAAAAAAATCCCAAGCCCCAAACCCTCAAACTCCCGGTAAGAATAGAATTTGGACAGAATTAACATAGCTGCTCTTAGCGTTTATCACAAGATCACAGGATGGAGTTTGATGCTTTCAGGTCTCCACAGGAATGACTGTGGCATCGGTAGCCTACTTCATCCTAAATCAGACCAACTTAAAAAATTCTGTGCAATAAAGTTTCCCTTCCTTCCCCTGAAATTATATTCTCTCTTTAATTAAGATACCGAAAGACTGCAAAAGTTTACTGTGGCAATCAGACTGCTTCCACAATAAATTGAAGCCTTTAGGAATCTGCTTTCAAAATATCATATCCTATTACTTAGCATTTGTATCTAGCCCATTAATTTTTATAACAGTACTACAAGCAAGTTATACATACAGAATTACCACTAATTTTGATCTTACACTGTGGGATGTAGTATGACAGCAACTCGCTATTTGATGTATTTAGTTGCTTTTGTTGTGGCTGATTTTCACTCTTTACGTGCTCTATGTTGTTGTCATCATCGTTATCATCATCTTCATCTTCCTCTACTATAAAATCTTCCATGCTGCCACTGTCAGTTTCACTGCCTTCTGTTGGTGTGAGGGGCAAGTGACAAAGCGGTTCCTCTTCTATTTCTGCTTCACTATTAGAATCCTAATTAAATTTTAAAAGGTACTTCAAACAACAAGAATTTTCAGTATTTGCACTGACAAAATACTACGTATACTAGCTTTTTGACCATCTCATTACACTATTTGCTCACAATTTGTAACAATTAAGCAGGTACACATTTCCAAAAAACACATCATTCTGTACCAGACGACAATTACTTTCAGATTTAAATTAGCCATCTCCATGTACCTCTCTTCAGTCTATCTGTAGGAATTAACCTGAGATATCCAAGTTACTTTAGCAGGTATTCTGTTTCCTGATAAAAAGCATCTGATAGCTTTTCAGCAGTCAATATTGTTATCTAGTTAATGTGACTATTAAAATGTGACAGAACTACTGATTTGTCATGCATTCAAAACCAAAAAATCCCACTGATTTATATCTATTAGTCTTCGCCTTTCCTCACATTAAATATTTTCTCCAATTAAATTTCAAAGATAAAACCCAGACCTCCCAATTTGCACTGCTGCAAGATCTCCGAGCTGCACTTTTTCTTGCAAGTTCTTTCAGTTTTGCAAACACTTTCTGTTTCCTACTAGTAGAAACATTCTCTGTAGGGCACGTTTTATCAGGTTGCTGTTCTTCGGAACTGTCATCCTCATCCATTATACAGCGGCGCTTAGCAAAAACTTTTCTAACCAGTATGTCACTGTCCTGACTTTCGTCACTGTCATACAAGACAGAGGTGTTCGACCTCTTACGCTTCCCAGGCACAATGCACTCATCCTCCCCATCATCTGTTCCTTCTGCATTGTGGCCTTTTTCTTCCCGATCTGAAAGACTGCTCTTAATGAAAGTTTCATCCTTTTCATCTATTTCACTTTCTGATGTGGTAGGTTCCTCCTCCTCAGAGGTAGCTGAGGATTCGTCACTGCTGTCAAATAGTATGAGTTCCCTTTTAGTACGCCTCCAGTCGACCCGGGATTTGGACGACAGCTCTGTTCCTGCTGCCTTATTTCTTGTTTCGTATCTTCTGACAGGTGCTTTTATCTCCATTGGGAGGCTGTGGCAACACACCAAAGTACAAACCGGTAAGACAAAGCACTCATTACATTATGCCATTAAAAAAAAAAAAAGTACATAAGCATACATATTTTGTTACATACACTTATGACTTGACAGTACCATTAAGAGACACGGGTGGAAACCAGGATCAAACGAAAATAAACCTGCACAGTAACTTCTGAAGGCGATACACCTTACTGAAAACATGCAGAAGAGCAGAAGCGCCCGCACCCAGCGGCGCTTCTGGATAAACTGAGGAACTCAGGTCTGAAGCGCAGCTACCGGTCCCACCGTCCTCTCCCAACCCTGGAAGCCTCCAGCTCCGTTCTAGACCTGCTCTGACGGGACCGCTCGCTCGGGACCAGCGCCTTCAGGGCCCACTGCGGAGCGGCCCGTGCCTACAGCTGCTGCCCCTTACCCTGCCAGCCCCGCAAGAAGGCCTGAGGGGACCCGCGCCGCGCCGAGCTGTGCCGGCCCCGCTCCACAAGCGGGGACAGAGCGGGACAGGACGGGACAGAGCGGGACAGGACGGGACAGGACGGGACAGGACGGGACAGGACGGGCCGAACGCGAACGCACCCCCAGCTCGCGCGCCGCCGTTACCGCGACCCCGTGACCGCTTCCCGCCGCCCGGCCCCTCTCGGCCGCTGAGCGGAGGCTCCGCCCCCCTCCCACCGCCCCGGGCACCGCGATTGGCCACCGCCCCCTGTCACTCAACCTGCCGCCGTGTTTACGGAAGTGCTGTCAGGCCGCGGCGGGGGTTGGCGTGTAATGGTTGGAGAGGTAGAGGTGTCGTGTTCGAGTCCCGCCTCGGCAGGTCTCAGGCAGCAATGGCGTGGGGTGGTTTAGTTGTTTTTGTCCGGCCTAGATACATTCCTGAGGAAAATCTGTGTGGGCTTGTGAGGTACGGCACCTCCCCAGAGGGGCTGGCAGGGACTACCGCTGGTCTGGTCTGAGGTGCACCCCGCCACAGCAGGCCCCTCAGCGCTGCCGGCGCTCCGCTTCTCTGCAGCCCTGGGAACAAACTCGGTGGATTAATGAGGAGCGGCTGAGGGAGTTGGGGATGTTTACCGTGGAGAAAAGGGGGGAACCTTATCGCTCTCCACAACTACCTGAAAGGAGCTTGTAGCCTGGGGGGGGGGGAGGTGTCGGTCTCTTCTCCGAGACAACAAGTGACAGGACGAGAGGAAATGGCCTGAAGTTGTACCAGGGGAGGTTTAGATTGGATCCTAGGAAGTATTTCTTCATTGGAAGGGTTATCAAGCATTAGAACAGTCTGCCCAGGGAAGTGATTGAATCACCATCCCTAGAAGTGTTCAAAAAACCCGTGTGGATATGGCACTTGAGGGCATGGTTTAGTGGTGAATATGGTGGTGGTACTGGGCTGATGGTTGGGCTTGATGATCTGAAAGGTCTTCTCCAAACTTAATGATGAATAATGAGCTTCTGCTGTTGTTCTGCTTAAGACGTCTGTTGAATAGGATGCTGGATTCTGTTCAGAGCTAATATGCTTACAAATACATTTTAATAACAAGATTCATGTCTTAAATTTTCTCTGCTTTGCTTGGTCTGTGGCAGAAAACTACTACTACCTTGGAACTCATTCTGCTGACATTTTTTGTACATTTTTAGCAAGATCTTGAAATTGTTTCCATGTATTTCTTAAAAAATAGCTAGCAACAAAACAATGAGAGGAAACCTTCTCATTTCTCATCTTATTTGCACAGGACTGCTATGACATTGACATGGCAAAGAGGTGTGGACAGGCATTTATATACGTGGTGGGTTGAATTCCCAACAAAATGTTTATATTGCAAGGATTATAATGATTATAAATCAAGGATTATATTGCATTAAGGGATTTATAGTCCTGGGCTGACATTTGTTTTAATTGCTTTAAATTTAAAGTCAGTACATGAATTTTCAAATAAATAAACGGATCAGAGTTTTCCCATGATTTAATATTTCCTCCAAAGTGTAGTGGAAGTTAACATTTCAGGGTACTGCTCTTCATCGCGCGTCTTCCTTCCAACGTCGCCACCTTGTGACAAAAGGGGTGAAGGAAACCTAGTAGTTTTACTCATGTAGTACACGAGATGGAAATAAGGTAGCTACAATAAAAATATTGTATGTAACTGAAGAAAATATATAGTAAATAATTTTTTTTACTTGAATGACATGAAGAGTTTTAGTTATGAATACTGGCTTCTGAAGGACAGCAAAGAAGTTTTTATTATTCACAGTGCTGAAAATCTTATATCCTGATTTTGTGGATGATTTTTCAGGGGAGTCTACAGCGTGAGGTCATGTGTGTCCTTAGATTTTAGTAGCAGACTTCCAGTCAAGAGACACGAGTTTTCCAAACAGACCATTTTTCCTCAAAGCTCCTCTGTAAATTTCTTAATATGTTCGCTACACATTAAGGAAACTCATCTGTTACATAAAAAATAAACTCTGTTGATTTTCATGTGTACCAAAGCCTTTTTGTGGAGCTTGTGCAATCACTATGCCATGTGATGGTGATAACATCTTGCCGGTACTGAGTTTTCTATTTTTCTAGGGTATCCCAGTCTCCTATGATTTTAGATAACGGAGAAATTAATATGTTGGAAACTTTATTTTAAGTAGCAGCTCCCACTAGCCCCTTCTGTTCCTGGCTGCTTTAGCTGCTGAATATTTGCTATGCTGCTTTCCAGCTGGTCTGTTAGTTGTCTGGCTGTTGCTATGTTCACACTGCAGTTTCTCTGAAGCTCGAGCTCTTCTGGGGTTCAGTGATGTGCAGGATTATATGAACATTCCTTCCATAAAACAGACCCTTCCTGCTTGGGGTATTCTCCTTTCCCTAAGGTAAGCAATGGGAAGCTCAGAGCCCACAGTTCCCAGGGACTGTTTCCTGCAGCAGTGCAGCATTTGCAAACACTCTATGACTCCCAGGGATATTGAGCGCTAGGCTGGCTCATGCCCAAATAGTAGTGCTGAATTTACCCCAGCTGGAAAAAAGAAAAAAACTAAAACAAACAAAACAATGCAAAAAGCTCTTTCTAATTTTTAAACTTAAGAGGAGGTCTAGGCCTGTCTGGAACTGGCACAGGCACGAAGGTGGCTCTTGCTCTGACAGATTGCAACAACGCAACAGCTTGTTAGAGCAGAAATGGCAAGTCACCTCTGAGTTTGCCAATAAGTGATTTAGCCAACAGATGCCATGACAATGAGCTTTAATGCTTTCAAAATAAATTTTCAGCATTGCAGTTCCTTAGAAGGGACTTTTTACTGATCACCAACTTACGTCACCAGGGACTCCCTATCCCTACACCAGACACACTGCTCAGTCCATTTATGTCATGCATTAAGTAGAGACATAAATTAACCACACAGTAACAATTTTATCACCAGAAAGAGCTGCTAGGACTCATAGGGAGGCCCCCAAGTAAGATTATACCTAAAGTGTAGAAATTGCATACAGGTTATCTTCTTTTAATTTTGTTCTTTCTCTTATTTTTTATTCTGTCTTCGTTGAACACAACCTTCTATATGGTATATGAAGAGAATATTACAGGGGACTTGTTATCTTGTATTTGTCTGCTTCCTATTTCTCGTCAATGGAAGACTATTTCCCTAATTTTATGGAGAATCCCAGCAAATGATAAACCTGGCCAGAAGCCCTGGGAGCTGCTGGGTGACTTTGACATGATTCATGTAATATTTTTTTTTTTTTTTTTTTGCTATTGCTCTGTAGTCAGTAGCAACAGAGAAATTGACCTTAATAGTTATAATTTCTTAACAGAAAGTATTTTAATATTCTATTTCAATGCCTTTTTTAAAGAATGTACATCTCCATTTAGGAGAAAAATGTTTCAAAAAAATTAAAAAGTTTTCTAGAGCATAGAGTAATTCTAAATATTCTAGTAATTTAGAGTATTCAAATAGTAATTCTACTATTACTATTAGAATAATAATTCTAAATACCTTCCCTCCTCACCCTTTTTTGCTAACAGTGTTTAACAAATGTTAGTATGTGTTTAACACAGAGTGTTTGTTAAAACTTTTCTCAGAGACTGGAATTCATTTCTGCACAGAAGCCTTTTTAAGGAATTAAATGGGGTTTGTGAGATCCTTAATCCTGATTCTGGCTCTTTGTGTAGTGTTGAATTTCACAGAAAGTGAGTTGCAGACAAAAGAGACCAACGGAGTTAACATTTAATCTCTTTTTGAAACACTGAGAACTTTCTGGTCTCGGGAGATTCTGAAATGATGTTCCATATATAAAAGTTTTCTTTGTGTGTCTTGTAGGCTGGATCATGATTGCTAGATGACTTGCATGTTTATTTTGTCATCAGTGCCTTTGTGAGTTCTTGTCATCCCTGCTATTTGAAAGTCCTAGTAATTGATAAAATATGTAGTTTACCTTGCCGCCTGCGTGTGAGATTAAAATCTTTTATCTTCACTACCTGGAGTATATACAGTCTAATAGTAGGACAGTACAAGGCCGAATGTAGTCAAGGTTCATTATCGCTATTTGAATATCACCTGTATTTTGATCCAGTTCCACTCCAGTAAAATTCAGTTTATTCTATTTTCACTGCCTTAAGATATTAAAAATACCTTGGTCTTTCAAAGTCACAGACTACGAATTGCATTTGTGTTGAAGTAAGAGACTGAGGAGTAAATAGCATTTAATTTTTATCTGGTGCTAGTATAAGGCTGAGACGTTCCTACACGATCCTGGAAAGGTTCTGTTTAATGTCAAGGTTTAGGTATCACTGGACATAACTCGGTGATATTGATGTGCTAAGTTTTGAGCAAGAGCAGTGCAAGGCATACTTGCTAGCATCCACCAGAACTGTGTAATGAAGGTCAGGATTTTTGTACATTGAGGGGACTTGAGGGGAGTGGCATTTTATCCTACTTTCAGAGCTTTTCACCTTAATTTTGATATTTCTTGAAGAACTTATTTTTATCTTTCAGGGTGGTTTCTTTTCTCTTTGTCACAAACCCCATAAAATCCCCTGGCAGCAGTTCTCTAGCTGGACAATCTTTTGCCAGGAGGAATGTGATGAGTCATGATGTGTGACCAGAATAGCCGTGCTGTTAAAATTGCCAAGAGTAGATGGAGTTGCACCCATAAAACTGTGCTTAGGTACTGTAATATATTTGATCTGGGACAGCAGAAACAAGGGATGCTTAGAATGAAGTGTAGCGTCAAAAGTGTTTATCTGCTTGTTAATGCATCTGCACTAACTTCTTACCATGATAACACACCGGAGTCTCTATACCTGCAAAGCCTTTCAGCTTTAATTTAGTCTT